GGTCCAAGAACAGCTTCCATGTCTTCACGAAGTGTCTAGCCAAGTCTTCAGTTCCCCATCTCTTCGGCGCCGCCGGATCGACGGCAGCGTAGCAAAGCTCGTGAGGCGGACGACGGAGAACTTGCCGAAACCACCTCAGTTGTCTTTCTTGGATGACCTGACATACCCTCGCGATACGATCGCTGCGAGCACGGACTGTCTTCTTTGAGACGAAGTCAGTATACTTCACTCGAAGGATGGTCCTCAGGCAGCGATGGTCAAATACCTCCAGTCTTCAGTCATCTTTCAAACACAAAGCCCAGCATTCACATCCGTAGAGGAGGACTGACCGGGCGGATGCAAGGTAGACATGGATCTTCGTGACAACGGAGATGTCGCATCATATATCATCTTTTTAAAGAACAGCTGTCTGTTTACTGCTGTAAGACTTAGGCAAACGCAGCGTGGACTGAGCTCGCACAACACGAGTTTTCTTGCATATCTCATGAGGACATTTGTCCGCAACGGCACTACTTAAACCGTTTCAGTAACAAAGTTATAAACAAAAATGTTTTCGGTCACTCGCAAATGGAAATTAATGTCTCTCACCAGGTAAACTAATTCCTTTAATTACATCCACCGGATCGATTGCATTGCCCAGTGACTTGCTCATCTTTTTCCCGTGAGCATCGCGGATCATTGCGTGAAGGTAGACCTCGGTGAAGGGCAGACGGTCGGTGAAAAAGAGGCCGCACATTACCATGCGTGCAACCCAGAAAAAGAGGATATCATGTCCGGTCTCTAACAGAGTGCCCGGATAGAAGGCGCGAAAGTCTGAACTATCGGTGTTTGGCCAGCCAAAAACGGACATTGGGAAGAGTTGCGAGGAGAACCAGGTGTCTAGGACGTCCTCGTCCTGAATGAGATGGATTTCGTCAATAGGGCATTTGAAACGCTCCGCAGCGGTGGCCAGTGCCTCCTTTTCATCGCGCCCGACCACCCAAGAATCGTTGGCTGACGACTGTTATGGGAGGAGAGGAGAGAGGAGAGAGTAAAAGGGGCACAAGGCTGATGACGGTGATACAAAAGTTGTTAATTTTTGATTTCCCCTGAAATGCATCGCCAACTACAGTAGTCGCCGGCTATTAAGCCCACCTCGGGCCCAGA